TCCCCAGCCAGCCATGCTGGCTGGGGAATTCTGGGAATTGAAGTCCACACATCTTCAAGCGGCCAAGGTTGAGAAACACTGCTTTAAGTCCTACACCTCATCTGAGAAAAGATGCATGTTTGTCTGTGCTAATCCTATAAATGTCTCTGACTCCCTGGTTCTAGTTAGAGGAGACATGACAGAAGGAAGAAGCACATCTGGATAAGGGAAAGCTATGAAGGTAAGGTGGTCCACCTGAGGATCCTCCATGTAAAATGAGGAGAACAAGGAATCCTTAGCTATATATTTTAAGAGCCTATTATCACGGTCTTCTTCTTTTCAGAAAAAAGGAAGATGTCTTATTGCAATGAACAAAGGGCCACTGGGTTGATTACTCCTCTGTTCTCACTGAGGCTGGAATCGTAACCCCAACCGACGCCAGATGGAAGAGGAGGTTCACGAAACATGCAGGACAGAAAGGACATGTCAAATGGCCCTTTGCTAACCATTCAGACAAAGAGAAAGTGTGTAGGGGGGAACAACTGCCATGGCAAACAATAAGGGCCGGGGGTCTGGGAGGAATGGGTCAAAAAAGTCAAGATGGCAACTACAATTGTGGGATTGAAGCCCTCCACATAAAAAGGGCTTTTCTCTTGTAGTGGGAGACGTTGTGATTTCTTTGACCCCCTCTCCCTGGATGCCCCTCTTAAGCCCTCTGCCCCCTATCCACTCGCTCTCCTTGCCAAACAGAGAGATGGAAAACCTGCCCTACCTTTCCATCAAGCACACGTGGTCAGAAAGATGAGTTGCAAATTCATTATCCTCACCATGGGGCCCAATGACTTCTATCAAGCTAAAAGCCCTGAATTCACATTCTCTCCAGAATTTTTGCCACAGTGCCAGAAGCCTGAATCTTTTAAGAAATTAAACGTAAAAATTTTTTTAAAAATCCAGACACACGCAGCCATTGCATTCAAGCCAGAGCAATCACGCCCTCCTCTGAGAACGGCTCACAGCTCTCCCTTGCCAAAACCTGATTTCCCAGGACTTAAACCCAAGGGCTGTTGTCTTCAGTGCCCAGTTCCTCCTGGATTTCCCCACCCAAAGAAAATTTCCTCTTACGTGTCTCCATCCTCATCTTGCTGTGTGGCTGTGGCAATGTCCAAAGCGAGCTGGGCTTCTGCAGGGGGGAGTAAGGAGTAAGAAGGCAGGATTCCCAGCAGGGATGGTGCAGTCAAGGGTTGCAAAAGCGGAGGGAGCTCTGGGCTCAGAAAAGGGTTGGCCAGACCTGAGATTTGGAAGAAAGAGAGGGGAAAAAAACAGACTGCAATGAGAAGCGAGGTTTATCCCATAAGAGCCCAGGCATCAAGTGCCTTTACAACTTCAATGTTCAGAAGACCAGATCAGAAACCAGAAGCTATTGATATCCCATGATTGCGCGGATTCTGGAAGACTTCCTTTAACAACTTCCTCTTAGCACCATCTCACACAGCAAGGAAGGCCCTATTAAGCCACCGCTGTGGCCAATGGGCAAGAACCTTAGTAGGACACCTTTCAGATGAAACAGGTCCCAAAGAACCCAGCCCATTTGAAGAGCATTTCTAATGGTTCACACTTTCCCATTACAAGAGATATAGGTGGGAATTGAAGTCCACAAATCTTAAAGTCGCTAAGGTTGAGAAACACTGCTCTAGAGACCCCTTTCCTTAAAAAGCCCACATTCCTTCTCAGGAGCTCATAAGGGTGGGTGGAAGCCAGGCTTCCATCACGAATTTCTGTCCAGTGGCCTTCTTTCAAAGGTCACCTTCGCTTCTCCTCAACCCAGAGATGAAGCCAACTTGTCACTTGGTCAAGGCTCCTCTTGGGTTTTGCTAGCTGGGAAGAAACCCCAAGAATGTTGCCTAGAGGGAACATGTCCCCACAGAAAGTGAGAGAGGCCCCCAAGCTACATGTGCATTTTGTTTAAGTGGCCCAGAAGGTTTCAAAACTGATGTCCTTCCTCAAGTTCCTGCAAGTTTCAAATTGCCTTTGGGAGTCTGAACCTTTGAACCAGCATGGGGTGTCCATGTTGGGCACATTATGTAATGCAGGGAAAGAAGTAATCATCTTCACATTATCTTCCTGTGTATGCATCTGGACAAATACAGGTAGTCCTTGGTTAAAGACTGCCCTGTTTAGTGACTGTTCAAACTTACGACAGCACTGAAAAAACAGCTTTATGACCAGTCCTTGAACTTATGGCCATCTCAGTGTCCCCATGGTCATGTAATCTCTATTTGTGACCTTCCCAGCCAGCTTCCGACAAGCAAAGTCAAAGGGAGCCAGCAGAAAGTTGCAAGTCGCAGTCATGTGCCATCACGCTTAATGACTGCAGCGGAATTGATGTCATAAATCAGGCATGGTCATGTGACATTTCACTTTATGACCGTGTCGCTTGGTGACGGAGCTGCCGGTCCCAATTGTGGTTATGAAGTGAGGACCACCTGGAGAGGTCAAGCCAGCCAAAGTGGCAGTGACAATGGAAGCCTGCCTTTCTCTTGATGTCATCATGTCTGGTCAAGCGTTCACTTTTGACCCCACTGATCTTACAATCCACCCCACAAAACTGAGGTCACCTGCCTCTCCTCCCCCAGGGCCAATCTGAGGAACCTCCATGGGCTCATGAGACATCAGCATTACCTTTTTGAACTGCTGGTGGGTCGATAGCAACCTCTCCCAAGAGATACATTTAAAAAGGCATTTTTACAGTGCCCTCTCTACAAGTCCTTCTCTCTCTCTCTCTGTGGGCATGCATTAGCTCAACCCTTTGGCAAAAAACCCTGCCCTTTTTATTCTCCTATTGCAAACGGCCTGAGGATGATAGAAGAAATCATGGACCATCATGGAGCTGCCAAGGAAGGATCCGGGGGTGTAAATCTGGGGGTCCCCCATTGCAGTTCCAGTAGGAAGCTCACTGAACATGTGGAGTGACACCCCGTATTGACTAAAGAGGTCCTCCCCTAAAAAACACCAGAGAATAAAGTGACTGCCATCGCTTGGGATAAGAGAGGTTCTGAACTGGGGGTCATAATCTGGGGGCCCTTCTTTTGACGGGATCCGTTCTTCCAACCGTGCTGTTAATCACTTGCTGCAAGATTGTCTTCCTCTTCCTGAATGCCTCCCCCGAAGGCTTCTCAGGTTGGACAAAAATAACCGAAAGGTATCCTCCTCACTTCAGTGCTCTGCTAAACCGGGCCCTTTTACCAAAAACACACAACGTTGTTGAGCAATTAAGGACTGGATTGGAACTGGAGAGAGCTCAGTTTGTAGCCTCCTCTTTTGGGGAGTACACCTGGTGATTCTGGGGATGTTTCTCTCTCTCTCTCCATCTAGACTGCCTCACAGAGGAGATCTTGGGGGGATACAGTTAAAGGAGATCACTCCCACCTATTTATTTCCAGGTCAAGTAAGAAAGAACTCAGTAAGAAATCATACACCACTACTTTCTTCCACCTCGATCCACTAGATCAGTGTTTCTCAACCCTGGCAACTTTAAGATGGGTGGACTTCAACTTCCCAGCATGCTGGCTGGGGAATCCTGGGAGTTGAAGTCCACCCATTTTAAAGTTGCCAAGGTTGAGAAACAGTGATCTTCGTTCGAGACCAAAGCTTCAATCATCAACTATTAGGATGACTTCTGGCAGAAAGTCCCAGGCCTGCAGTTAATGTGTTTAGGGTGGGGGGCTTTCTTTTCATGGCTCTTTTTAGTCCAGGCTGTCTTGTTTCACGTTGTCTATGTTTGGAATAGTTTTAGTTCATTTTGTCAGCTGCCCAGAGTCCGCTGGAGTGGGCGGCAATATGAAATACATAAGTAGATGGGATTTGTAGTCCAATGTATCGCAAGGATACCAGAATGGGAAGCTGCCCCAAAGGACTGGGGGTGGGGGTGGGGAATGTAGAACATGGCTGCTGAGAAGGAAGCTGGCAGTGGGGTAAAGAAATTAGGGAAGCGAGTGAAGGGAGAAGATAAAAGTTTGCAGGAGGTGCAGGATCCTTACCTGGATAATACGCCACCGGCACCCTGGGATAGGTCACTGAGATATAAGGAGAGTGATAGCCATTGCAGTGGGGTTGCCGTGACCCACTTCCCTGCTTGCCACTCTCCGTCTTGGGGACCTTGCCAGCCAGCGGCCCCTGCGTGTCCCCGTTTGTCCCCTCCACGGCATAGCGGCGCTTTCGCAGAGGCAAATACATCTCCAGCTTCTTCTCTTCCTGCAGCCCACTCTTGGGTGACGCTGCACCTTGTGGTCTTGGCCGGGGATCAGGTTGACAGAGAGGAGACGCATCCTTGTCCATGGGTCCCAGCAGCCCCGGGGCGCCTGAGGAAATGCCAGGCATCTGCTTGCCAGAGGGAGTCAAAGGCGGGTCTCCCTTGGAGGGGGGGCGCTTGTCTTGGCCCTCGTCTTTCCGCCAGGTCCGCAGGTCCACAGGAAACTCCCCTGCCATGTTCCAGGACGCCTGCAGCGGCCGGCGGGGTGAGCCACTGATTCAACCTGCCTGGGTTCCTTCAGCTCTTGAGGAGGTTGCTTCTAAGTGCCAGGTAGATGGGGGGGCAGCTGCCTCAGCCCCCCATCTTTGCAAACCCAACCTCTCTTTGGACTGTCCAGCTCAGGAGGCCACCAGAAGACTCCCCACTTCCAGCAAAACAGGTTTTCAGCTGATTGGAAGAACCGGGCAGCGGCCCCCCACTCCGAGCATCGTGGGCTGGTTTCCAACTCCGACCCCCTCCGGGAGGGGCGCTGATTTCCCAGGTGGCACCCTGCGAGAAGCCATGCGATGCCCCCGGGACCCTCCAGAGAGCTAGTGGGGTGCCATGTTCCTTTCCTGGGGAGCCAGCCGGCAGCCCCCCGGGTGGGTGGTGGATCAGCCGCTGGAGGGGGGCAGCGCCGCCGCCAAGCTCCCCCCGCCTGATCCCTCGCCTGCTGGATTCCTGGGAAGGGAGTCACCCGTCCAACTCCTCCCGAGCGTCTCGCCTCTGCCTCTGCCAAGTCACCCTTTTGCTTTCGCTGCTTCGGGCCAGGCAGGCAGGCAGGC